TTTTGGTGTCAGTATTTTGTTAGATCCTTACAAACAGTATGCTTTTTTGGGAATGATTTTGATAAGTGGTAAACAGTAGTACATGGCAAGNAGGTCGGCAATTAATTAATTAATTAACAGTGTGACAATAATTTATTCTGTGATCTCCTTGGTTGATGACTTTTAATTGCAACTACCATTTCTAACCACTCCAACTTCCTTCAATCATGCATTGTATAAGGCAGGTAGAGCAAGTCCAAGAGAACTATAGTTGGCTTTGGCTACCATCTTAGGCCATGTTTTGCACCTTTCACATAATTCCTTCTCATATTCAATTCTTTATAACAAGCTTTATTTCAATTAAGTTTTCAAACAAAGAGATTGGGATGAGGTGGGGTCCCTTTGCTGTTGAAATTCAAGGATATTCTAAACTACTTTCCAAATAAATAGTATATTTTTATGTCATTTTAATAGGCCTTTGAATCATCACAATAAAATAACTCTCTTTTGGACTTCTTTATGACTGCACTTTTTTCGCATATCATCAACTTTTTGGAGATAATTTATTTGGGTATTATTATTTTTACAACCAAAAATACCTTTAAAAGTAAATTGTTAATGTATGAAAATAATGTAAAAAAAATATTTTTCAATTTCCTTTGGTTTGGTAACAGAACCGCTTCACATCCAGCAAAGTATGGGTGTTTGTTAATCTTTGCCATCCCATGCTGCTGCTGAATTGCAGCAAGCTCTACCACAATAGCTCTTCCATGTGAATGATTGAAGGCATGGGCATAGATCTTGGTTAGTTGCTGGACAATAAATGGTAAGAAAAGAATCAAGTATTGAATAAAGAAGCATAATTATTTATGAATTGAATTACATTTATATTATTTACCAGTGAATCAGTGAGAAAATAAGGCAAATACGAGTAATAATCATGAAAATTCTGTTCAGGTACAACCTGTGGTAATCATACTGCATAACTTTGTCATAAAATAAGCACAACAAATCTTAGAATTATTTTTTATGCGTGTAAAAACTTGAAAAAAAAATTGAGCAGTTGGATATGCCAAAACTGATTAGGTTGTTTTTTCCATGGATTTGTTAAGCGTTGACGGGTTCCTGAATAAGACAAATCTGCTGCATTAAGTTTATTTATAAATATATGTATAGTTTTTTTGCTAATAAATTGTGATATTTTATATAATTAGTAATATATTGAGCAATGTGAAGGGATGTAATGATGGTGCATGCATTAGGAAGTTGACTTGTGTGATGCTGGAAGACCACATTTTGCATCTGTCTTGAAACCACATGGGATGATTGTCAAAACAATATAATCTGATTGGTTCCCAGAAGATAGAAAAATAGATAAATGCCTAATAATACCAAGTGCATATCGAACCTGTCATAAATCATGTTCTACTTTGATTGAATGAGAATCTTTTAGTTTTTTTATTTTCACAAACTAGTATTGCTTTTGTCTTTTTCCCATAAGCCCTAAAAAAACTCACCTTATATTCTCATCACAATTATAATCACTCTCAAATCCCTTTTTTTTTTTAAACCAGGTACTAATTATTAATTAGCTCATCAACAAAGTATTATATAATATGTATTATCCTATATATATATTCATTTAATGTGAAAAATCCTGTATATTTGACATGTTTTAAATAAAAAATATTAGTACTCAACAAGGCTTATATCAATTTATGCATAACCCGTAGGGAGTTCTATAATTTGAAATATAATTATTGATATTTAGAGAGTAGTAGTAGGCCCAGAAGAAAGAGCCAGGGCCACCAGGCCCACCAGAATCCATACCAAGATGATGTTTGGAGATGGGCCCAAAAGGTGCAAATGCAACCAAACAAACAAACCCAAACTAAACCCACTTTGTATTTCGTCTTTATTGACAAAAATCCCACGGCTAGATCCACGTGTACGAATGTGGGCAAATTGCCTCTGGATTTTAAATATGTTCATTTCAAAGTTACAAGTATTTTAACTAAATTAAATTTCATTTTTATTAGTGAAAAACTATTAATTTTATAGTTTCATATTCAGTAATATTTCAACTCAGGGATTACTACGAAGTACTTGAAAAATAATAAGCTATTTAGTTTGTAAAATTCATTTAACACTTGATTGTGAAAATTTAAACTATGAAATGGGTTTGCAAAATGTCATGAAACTAAAACAATTCTTTATTTTTAGGCTTTTTTTATTAATTTTATATTATTATATTCTCGGCAGTTTAAATTAGTATTTGGTATTTATAGGTCAACAGGATTTTAATTATAGTATTCATATTTAAAAAAGTTATTGTCATTCTTTATCTATACTGTGTTTTATTTTTTTGCAGTCTCTGTAAGGATCACAAAAAAGTTATAAAAGAAATAGTGAAATTAAAATGTTATAATATAGAATAAAAAAGGTAAAGTTAGAAAAAGTAATTTTTATTCGGTCAAAATATACTGATAGAATATTATAGAGTCGCAGTTCAAAATTATTCTTTTGGTTGTCTTCTGGTAAAAGGCTCTTAAGTCCGTACACAGTACATATTCGTAGTGATACATTTGTAAATTAAAACAATGCATATTCTTATTCTTTTTATTGGTAAGGAGTAGTGGATATGAGATAGGAGATAAGATAGATTAAGATTATTTTGCCGGATTCTTTATTTCCTATTTAAAGTTTTGTTTTCTATCGGTACTTTAAAATATCTTGGTACTTACACCCTTGGATTTTTATCACAAGTTAAAACTGCAAAGAGAAACCGTGGATATATAAGATTTGCAATATTTTCCAGGAACATCAAATACGATGAACCAAACCGATTAGACTAGAGGGCACATGCTCTTTTGCTTCTGTTTAAGAGAATCCCATGCATGCCAAGAATGCATACCTCAACTCAATCTACACTTTTCCAACATAATTCAGAGCAAAACACTCACTACATACACCTCATTTGTAATCTTCTAATCATAACTTCATGTTTGCATCAAAGTGGTATTGAGGAAACAATAATAACAGAAAAACTTGCCAAAGTCTATGAAAAACAACNATATTCTTATTCTTTTTATTGGTAAGGAGTAGTGGATATGAGATAGGAGATAAGATAGATTAAGATTATTTTGCCGGATTCTTTATTTCCTATTTAAAGTTTTGTTTTCTATCGGTACTTTAAAATATCTTGGTACTTACACCCTTGGATTTTTATCACAAGTTAAAACTGCAAAGAGAAACCGTGGATATATAAGATTTGCAATATTTTCCAGGAACATCAAATACGATGAACCAAACCGATTAGACTAGAGGGCACATGCTCTTTTGCTTCTGTTTAAGAGAATCCCATGCATGCCAAGAATGCATACCTCAACTCAATCTACACTTTTCCAACATAATTCAGAGCAAAACACTCACTACATACACCTCATTTGTAATCTTCTAATCATAACTTCATGTTTGCATCAAAGTGGTATTGAGGAAACAATAATAACAGAAAAACTTGCCAAAGTCTATGAAAAACAACAAAAGAAAAACTAATCATTTCGGTTGGTGGAGTCGAGGTTAAATCTTCTCACACGATTTATTTTCTAACTCATACTTTAGGTCATAGTTTTGTTCTCCAATGTCACTATAGAAAACACTCTTACGTTCAAGTCAATATTTATTTGGACAATTTTAACAATAAATACATAGTAAAAATAATCAACTACTTAGAATATCAAACATGTATTTATAAACTATCATAATGGACTTCTGATTAAGATCGATCCAATTAGGATTCATATACCTATAACATAAATTATGATTAATCTAATTATTCTTGATAATTAATATGATTTGGTTTAACCGATCGGTTTTTCCGCTTTGTTATTGGATGGTTGATCATCCGACCCATAATTGACTAAATGGTTATACACTACAACATTAATAACTATAAAAGAGAACACCAATACTTTCAAATGAAAATAAAAACTCATTACTACAATCAAGTTGCATTAAGATCATTTATAATTTGAAGATAGTTATATAAAAATCACAAACAAATATTTATAATAAATCAATACATCAAAACAACAATATTCTCAAATATAAAAAGAAAAAAGAAAAAGAAAAACTTAAAATAAAACAAAAATATAAGAGTGATTTCTCTGATCACAAACCTCCTTCAATTGATAAACCCAATTACCTCCTTCAATTGATGAACCTAATTATTAAAATGAGGAAACTATACCGCAAACTTGATGTCAAAATTTTAGTTAATCCAACGAATCATTAATTATAATTTTACTTAGACAGTAAATATGCCAATAATTTTTTTCTCTTTTCTCTTTCAAAACAGCAAAAACACTTTTTTTTACCCAAAACAAGTAGACAAAATTGGTATGAAGCAGGTGGGTATCTAAAATCAACCCTCTTTTGTTTGGGTGTTTGCATTGCCATTGTCATTTTTGCACATAGTAAATCATGGTAACAACAAACAGCTAAATTTGAAAACGTCAAATCAACATTCTCTTTCTTTCATGGAGCATTAAGTTGGAGACAAAATAGTGAAAAGCCCATTACTCAACTTACTTTAATTCCCCATTAGATGAGGCATGCAAGACACCACTTTGTACGCTAACATAGAACTAGAGCCACAAATGGCTAAAAAATTGCCCATAATGTCACGCCACTGCTGTGTGTTGGTTTTGATTGAACAGGAAGATCAATGCACTGGAACCAATGGTCAGAGACTCACATGCTTATCCTACACTCCCCAACAACCATATCCGAAATGTCTAGACAAAATCTAAATAGTTCATTGCAAGGCTCAAATCTCAAAGCTTCACATAGCATACTCTTTTAATATTTGTTTCAGAAAACATGCAAACAGTTCATGATCAGATTCAGAAACATCTATCTAGCTTGGGAGTTCTAGCCTTTTGGTGTCAGTATTTTGTTAGATCCTTACAAACAGTATGCTTTTTTGGGAATGATTTTGATAAGTGGTAAACAGTAGTACATGGCAAGGAACATACTGACATACAACTTGTTTTTTTCTTTCACACAAACACAGAACACCCTGCTGAAGGTATGCTGCAAAATTTACACAACACAGATCCTTCAACAACATCATAAACACTCCCACAGTCAAATCTTTGGAGGTTTTGTAAGTTTGAATATAACAATCTTAAAAGAAGTTTGTTAAGCATAACATAATAAACAATACAAGGATTGATGCAGCTTAGTATGAGATTCTATCCACTCAAAAACGCCTTCAGTTCTCGCTTCCAAGACACCACGCCCTCGATTTGTTCGCCCCCAATAGCCCAGAGGCTTTTAATACCACAGAGAGTTTGATGGATAGAGAGGAACACTGCACTTCCTAGGTCCTGCTTTTGCTTTTTTCAACAGCCCTGGGAGCTGCAAGTTGGCACAAAAAAAATGTAAATTCAAACAAGATATGAATAGACTAAATTTTCTAGTACGTGTAACTCAGGGACATTAACAGAAGTTGAAATCAGATTTCAAACAATTGTGACAGTAAAATAATTTCAACTTGTGTTTCTATGATTATCTACTGATTCACAATTTTTATAGTTCACATTCATTTTTTTTATAAGCATTTTCGTAAAATTTGAAAAAATTGCTCACTTCTAACCATATCTGGATTCTGAACATGTTCAAGCATTTTTGACATCAATGCAAAATAAACTCATTGGGTAGAAGCTATTTGTTTTCAAACTTTATTTGAACTAGAAGTCTTAGCACTGTAGGTGTAGCCATAAGACTACTTTATTACTAAGATTATAGATATAACTTCTTGTATTCTTGCCACCACCACTGCACAATTGAAATAACTATCAGGCAATTTGAAATTTTTGTTTGCTTATTGACTGATAAACCATTTAACCATGTTATATATGCATTGAATTGACGAACTCGAGGCTTGTTCCTTCAATGCTTTTCCTTTCCTACATACACGATTTTCAGACAAGTATGTTCAAAGTTATACTTATAAGATAGATGTGTTCGATAAAACATACCTAAACCAATGGCATCAGAACTCTTCATGATCCTCAACCTCTTGCATGTTTCAATAAACATCCTGCAAAGAGTTGATGCATTTTTGAAATTCGTTTGCTGGGAAACAAACATTATGCAACTTCATTTCATGAAAAGATTAAATTAGGCATGCAAAAAGCTTGACCAATATATATGAAAGTGGTTTTTATCAATGGAAAAGTATACGTTATTATTATTAGAAGACGAGGAGATACCACATTATTGAATAACCACAACATTTCACTTGTAGCAAAAGTTTTTAAATGTTCTTATACCATCGCACCGTTACACCATATAATTCATAGATAAGAGTAAGATTTTGGGAATTGCCATTAAACCAAAATTAGATGTAAATAAATATAGCTAGCCCAGTTGCCGAAAAAAATAAAGGAGTATCTATTGTTCTTTAAAAGAAAACCTAAATTACATTATGGTTTTACATATCAAAATAGTTAAAAAATCAATCTTACTCCTACAAGTTGCTACAAAATCCATTACCTCAGCAAAAGTAAATCATGATCTCATAAAATTGCATAGTTCTATCACTATGCTCAAAAAATAAAAGTTGTGGCAATCCCTGGAAATATATTATCAAGATTGAAATTTATTTCTCCAGTACTAAAATTTAATGTTAAACTACTCATTAACTCATTATGCATTCAAAAAATTCCTTTGAAAATTCATAAACTGATAATAGCACAGGAAGGACAGTTACTCAGCATGTAAGAATATGGAGGTTCATATGGCATGGACTAACAATAGACTAGTTTGTTTCCCAACAAACCTCACATGGATAAACTTTGATACCATATTAGAAAATGAGTTTAAACCTAACTCATCCATACAAAACCATCTTGTAAAATGAGAATTGCTCCCAATTATATATTATAAATTGGTCTTATTTTTAGTTGATGTAAAATCTCAAACAAGAATCATATATTCCCATAGAAACGGAAGATGTTTCCTAGTATTTACCAACCATATTTGGATGGGACTAATATTCCTAGTAATAATGGTATTCCCGGGAATCTAACTTAATCTTCGATGTCCCCTACAAAACAGGAAATGCATTCCACAGATCCACACCCACAGGTTATAACTAATAGCTCCTTTCATAAGTTAGTTGAAGTTTCTTATGAAAATAAGCTACAAGTTACTCAAATGTCTCGAGCACAAACCTTACACGCCAAATCATTTTTCAACAATTTATCAAAGTTCCTTCCCAGAAAACAGAGACACGAAACACGTATAGAAGAACTAAAAACTGATATGCGGATATGATAAATTTAAAAATTTTACAACACGAAGCAGCTAAGATTCACCATATAAGGTAATATAATTATCATTAATAAGAAATCCTAAATTAATATTAAGACAAAAATATATAGACACGGTAAAATACTATATTAATCTAACTATGGAATCATTTTGAAGTTTTAGTGCTTCCTAGCTTCTTTCCCAAGACAAGCTAAGAGGAATCAAAACTATATCATGAGAATAAGCATTTTACGAATATAAAGTTGCTGTCACTGAGGACTTTATTCTTTTAAAGAAAAGGCAGTGGAAAAGTAAGTGCATATGAGTTAGAACTTACTCCCAGGGAACATCACCCACAAGCATCCAATCTCCATCTTTGTCCTCATATGTAAGAACATATTCTGATCCATGAAGAAGGTCCTTCAGCTTGGTTTCATTCAGCATTTCCCTGCCCAGAATTCCATGAGATGGACACTGACCTGTAATCATACCAAAACAAGCAGTAACTGGATCCAAGCAGACTGTCCATGTAAATAATTGAAAAAGGTCAAGTTTTAAGGTCAATTTTTCCTCGTAAAACTAATTTAGTCTTACTTATGGTAAAACAGCTGAACATCTTCTCAAGAGCAGAAGATAATTCTGGATATGTAGAGTAATTATTCAAGTCCACTTTCCTTAAATAGGGAGCACCATCCATACTGACTTTGACGAACAGTGCACCACCCCCTACTTTTTCATCAACTTCTTCATTGTTCTTTGAATTAGTTGCCAATGAATTCTTCCTGAANGCACAAACCTTACACGCCAAATCATTTTTCAACAATTTATCAAAGTTCCTTCCCAGAAAACAGAGACACGAAACACGTATAGAAGAACTAAAAACTGATATGCGGATATGATAAATTTAAAAATTTTACAACACGAAGCAGCTAAGATTCACCATATAAGGTAATATAATTATCATTAATAAGAAATCCTAAATTAATATTAAGACAAAAATATATAGACACGGTAAAATACTATATTAATCTAACTATGGAATCATTTTGAAGTTTTAGTGCTTCCTAGCTTCTTTCCCAAGACAAGCTAAGAGGAATCAAAACTATATCATGAGAATAAGCATTTTACGAATATAAAGTTGCTGTCACTGAGGACTTTATTCTTTTAAAGAAAAGGCAGTGGAAAAGTAAGTGCATATGAGTTAGAACTTACTCCCAGGGAACATCACCCACAAGCATCCAATCTCCATCTTTGTCCTCATATGTAAGAACATATTCTGATCCATGAAGAAGGTCCTTCAGCTTGGTTTCATTCAGCATTTCCCTGCCCAGAATTCCATGAGATCCACACTGACCTGTAATCATACCAAAACAAGCAGTAACTGGATCCAAGCAGACTGTCCATGTAAATAATTGAAAAAGGTCAAGTTTTAAGGTCAATTTTTCCTCGTAAAACTAATTTAGTCTTACTTATGGTAAAACAGCTGAACATCTTCTCAAGAGCAGAAGATAATTCTGGATATGTAGAGTAATTATTCAAGTCCACTTTCCTTAAATAGGGAGCACCATCCATACTGACTTTGACGAACAGTGCACCACCCCCTACTTTTTCATCAACTTCTTCATTGTTCTTTGAATTAGTTGCCAATGAATTCTTCCTGAATGATCTTATAGGGGGCCACCCCACAACCTGAGCCCTGAAACGCAAGCATGATATGGTTAGAGGTGATTCCCACAGTTAAAACCAACTTCCAAACTTAATGTGATCGGTTATAGTTTTCCACTTACTTGGTAGCTGGTGCACTGTTACTGTTATTTGCAGAACAATTAATACTTGGTCTAGTTTCATTGGCAGAATGAGGCTCCTTTGCTGTTGCTGCTTCTTTCATTTTGATTTGCTGAGCCCCAGCCTTCTCAAGTGTAGAACCAGGGTTTAATCCCAAGTTAGAACCGGGCCTCGGAGATAGTATAGGATTGTTATCAGAATCAATTAGGAACTTCCCCTGCATGATAGATTAAGGTAAGGCAAAAATTTAAAAAGTACATATCCTTCGAGTGAATTGGTGTTTACCTCCGAGAAGCCATTCATGGCATCTGAAAACCCTCTCTTGCTTCCCAAAACAGCAGTCTTGGTTGAAGAATGGTGATCGTCAGTGAGAGGACGCAAAGGAAACAAGGGTTTTTCATCAAATTGAGTTGAGCTTCTTAAGCAAAAATCGGAATCTCTTTCAGGGGACTGTGATCCCGGAAGCCCAAGCCTGAGCTCGGTGGCTTTCAGGTTCAGATTACTTTTAGTCTCTTCTGAGAAAGACGGAACTGAGCTGTCTACAGAAGAACAATCAGATAACCCCATGTAGTTGCGTTCTTTCAATTCTAAGGTCTTCAGGCACACACTTTCCATGGTGGTTGATGAGGAAACCAACATAGTGACATTGCTTTTACCCTCCTCCTCTCCTATGCCCAGCAATGGTGGAGACATCACACTTTAACCCAAAGCACTCAATTTTTGTATGCCCTATCAAGCAATGACACCATTTCACATTTTTCATAAACCAAACTCGGTAATCTCAACTATCTAACTTTACATGCCACAACCTTCAAGATCGGCAAGCAAACAAACAGAAAACGTAAAAGCTACACTGAAAAACAGCTTGCCACACTTGATTTCTAATCTGTAAACAACCCTAACAAACAATTCATCTCAGAACTTCCACAATGTATTGAACTCAAGTATACCTATATTCTCAAAATCTCTTTGCTTTATCCCCAAAATGCATGAAATTAATAACAATCATCAAACTATACATTTCTTTAACGTTTTAATAATGCAAATTCCAAATTAGACACTAAGGATTTGAGTTTTGGGAGTTAGAAGAAACACACAAAAAAAATAATAATAATTAAACAAACAATAAAAATATTAGAAAATACGACAATCTTTTATGGTCACATAGTGTGCAAACAGGGTAATTATTACTTTTTCTGGTGGAAAAAAGTTAAAAAGTTCTCAAAAATAACCAAAAGGATAAATCTTGAGAGCAAAAAATATATAGAGAAATTGATGGCTAAGGGAGAATTCTGGATTCATGAACCATACTCTTCACTCAATCATTTAAATCTTCTATAAACAAACTTTAGAAAAAGAGAAAAAAACAAAGATCGGTTCTTTATGCGCAGACCTTGAAGAGAGATAAATGGGGGAAAGATCACAAACCATTAAGTAAAAAAAAAACTCTCAAAAAAGAAGAGAAAGAAAGAAAAGATCATACTTGTCTGAATGGTCTGAGAGGAATTTGGGAAAGTATTAAGAAAGATTGAAAACTATCTTCGGCCATTAATAATGAGAAAGACAAAGACCCATGGCAAAGTAAGAGGCATGAAAGCAAAAAGGGTAAAAACAAAGACACACAGACAGAGGGTTGGTTGCAGAAAGGTTCCAGAAATTCAGGGTCCAATTGCTTAGTCCAACCAACATAAGAAAACAAAACGTGGAAGCAAAGCACACAAGCTGCAATATGAAAATATTTTACCTGAAAAAAACAGAAGATCAGAAAGGATGAAGATGAAGAAGAAGAGTGATTGAAACTTTGAGACGAAGAGAAGATAGAGAGAGTGAGAGAGAGAGAGAGAACTAAGGACCCTCCATTGGGCATAAAGTAACTAAAGCTTTTGCTGTCTGATGTGAAACTCCATGCATTAAAATATATGACTTTAATAAAAAGGAAAGCCTCTTGTAAAAAAAAACTTCTCTTTCTGTAATTTTCAATTTTCCTCCTATGTCCAAGACAAAGTTTGTTTGTTTGCAGTATCCCTTCATTTAATTTTAATTTAAATTTATTTAAATTTGAGTAAGGTACTGTCACCTTTTTAATAATATTCCGCCGAACATATACTATGGAACACACCTTCAGTCCTGAATGGCCCTGCTTTATGATGATTGAGAGCGCACCACGGCTTCATTTATTTTCTCGTATGAATGATCTGTGGAAACTAAGAGCTACATGCCAAAACTTCATTTTAAGACCCAATTTAGTATTTTTCTGATCTAAATTCTGCAGAGTTCTGAACCATGCTTGTGTGCTTCCAAAATAACAAAATACAAAACTTTATGAAACAGAAAGAAAATAACATGTATTTTATCATTCTGCTGCAAAATATTGTTTTCATTTATTCAGGTAAAGTCGGTATTCCGATGAGTTTTTCAACACAAAATCATGTCTTCCCAATTTTTTTTTTAAATTTTCTAAACTTATAAATTAGAAACTTTTAAAAGAAATTTAAATTTTCATATTATATGTAATATATAATGAAAATTAAATTAGCTTTTTATTGTTTTTTGAGTTTTTCATAAGTTATACTTATTTTTCAATTTTATTTATTTTTTGTTTTTGAAGAGAAAAAAAAAGACATAATTTAACTATTTTTGTTCCATTTTTTATATGTCTTCTTTTTTTCATATTTGAAGAAAAAAAATTAACTCTTTTATTTGACTTGATATGAAATATTAGTGTAATAATTCATGTTATTATTTTTTTATTTCATGAGTTTTTGCATATTTAATTTTTATAAATATGCCATGTATTTCTTCATAACATTTTTTTATTGTGGCTCAATTATTACAGATTATTTTTTAGTAATTACGAAATTTCAATTAGATTATGATAATAAGTTTTTTAATTTTAAACTTAAAAAGATAGATTATCTTTTAAAAGTGATTAAAGAAAAATTAGTTGTGAAGAAGAAAACAAGACACATTCAACTTATTTTCTTTATATACTTTTAAATATGATATTAATTATCTAATTGTTTAATTAGATGAGTTATTTCTTAAAGATTTAAAGAATTATAGGTAAGGATTTGATATTAATTATTTAGAATGTGATAAAAAAAGATCATCAAGTATAAAAACATCAAAGAAATGAATTTAGAAAAACTTATTTAAAATAAATTCCATATTAAATAAAATTTTAAACCTATAAATTTTGAATGTATTATTTTAGTTTTTTATTGATTATCATTCCATTGGAAAATATAATAACATTGAAATATGAGTTTAATTTGTTTTTATTTCATATAAGACTTAAACTAATACTTGATATATAAAATATATGATGTGATATGAAATTGAAGTATATATGAAATTAAGTTTAACTCTACAAACTATTAAATTATTTGTATAACGTATGCACTTGAAATTTGAAATTATATTTAATTTGTTTGGTAAAAATGAGATAAATAAGTTGAAGGAATGAAATAAAATAAAGTGGTAAGATTCTCACTTCATTCATCCACTAAGTATAAATAATGATATTTTAATAACATTTTTTATAATATTTTAATATTATCTATGTATCATTCTATAATTGGTTCAAAATTATTTCACGATCAATAATATTAATCATAAACACTAATATAAATCAATCACAAATAATATTAAAATATTATAAAAAAAAATATTATCAAAATATCATCTTACATACAAAATGCTAAGTTAATGCAATTACCATATATGTCCACGCACGCAAAGCCAGAAGCATCACCACTGTATGGATCCCACTCATTACTGTCTCTCATACATTGTGGGTCATACTTGTAAGGCTCTTAGGTTACATTAAAGGGCAAATAAGGAAAACAACAATAAAGTATTTTAGTTCTACATTCTTTCATTATTCAAACTGTTTCCCTCCTCATAGTGCTATAGGAATACAGCAAACCTGAAAAAGAATCACTAGGCCACCATATTAAATTTCAATGCATTGTGGTCCAACAACACAATTTCATCCAAAATAGGAAACATAAATACAACACCAAAATTTATCAACCTACTTCACTACATTTTAGTAGCCTTTTATTCAGTAAAAAATACTTCACTGTATAGAAAAAACAAAGAAAACAATGTAGTTTGTCACAACTACACCTTTTATTATCTCAGTAATTTACTTTTTTGGAATATAGATATTTTTTAGAAAGTTTTTTTATATATATTTAATTAACAAGATTAACGAATCAATAAAAAATGTTGGATTGTCTTTAATAAAATAAGATATGAGTGAGTTACTTAAATATAAGTGACATAATTGAACTTGTTTTTAATCATTTATAAATCTAGGTGCATCTGTTAGCCATCATTTAAAAACACTAAAAACGTTTTTTTTTTCTAATTGAGTATTATATGAATATAGTATCAACAAATAAAACTATAAACAAAGAAATAATCTTAATTAAATCAGCAGTAATTTAGGATGATTTTATCCAACACTTACAGTAAAATTTAATTATGATAGATGAATGTTTTACATAATTGTATTTTTTTAAAGTTTATACAGCTCTAGAAAGTATAGGTAAAAACAATATTTAAAGTACATTTAATTTTAACTTTTAAATCATGTAAGATTATCGTATATGATAGTAATATTTTATTTATTGAGTGATAAGTGTAATAAAATAGTGGTGTGGAGCATAATGGTGAGGAGAAAAATGAATTGAGTTGGAGTGTGAGAGTTGAAAGAGGAAGAAGGATTAAAAATAGAAAGAGTGTGTTTGGAGACAGAGGAAAAAGAGATAAAGTGAAATGATGTTTGGGAGACAAGAAAGCGGCTTTTAATTTTGGATTGTCGGGTTCAGAGTGCGACAGATATACCTATTCTCTTCACTGTCTCTCTATCACGCTCTCGTTTCTGTCACTCTTTCCACTCTCCAACCACAATGCTCCAACACTTCATTCTCCAATATCCAACCTCTAAAAAAAATATATATTAAGTTAACTGCCCAATAGATTATATAAATGTAATATTATAATTAAAATATTTTTATTATCTATTCATTAATAAGTATTATTAATAAATTAATCATTCATAAATATTACCCCATCGAATATGTAAACCCTCCTTATTCATAGTCATTGAATTTTAGAAAGAAAATGAGTTACAAGATAATAAATTCTAAAAATATTAAGATGGAATTTTTAGAATGGTAACTTATGTAAATTTACTTTAAAAAAAAATTAAATTATAGAAATTTTATTAAAATTACATTTTAGGATCAAATTTTATTTTCTTACGATTATTTATTGTTGCGAATCCAATGTGAATCTAAGTTTCAGAGAGAAATGAGAGAGTAAAACAATATATAAAGATGAAAGACTCATTAGTTTATTGTGTTAGAGAGTGGTATCAATCCTTTTATATGGTTGCACTAAATTTTATTGGTGATTGTATCTTCTAGTGAACCTCCTTCTCGATAAACTTAACATAAGTATGATTTGCCGGCCACACGAATGACTAGGAAGAGATTTGTTGATAATTAACAAATAAAGAAATAAAACATTTTAAAAGATAAAAGTAAAAAAAAAAAATGTATTCACCCATTTCTTCCTAATCCAAATCCAACACCTTCATTCTTTAACAATTTTTTAGAACTATTTCTAAATAAAGAACTATCTATCTTTTGAACATCTTTATTAAAATTATAAACAATATATAAATATAAATATAATCATTCAATTAATTATTGTAATTTATGAATGTACAGTTAACTTCTCAAAATCACCTGTTCATGTTAACATTAAATTGTAATTACACATTATATTAGACATTCACTTTTATTTTTATTTTTATTTTACTTTAAAGTGTTCGACTTTATACCCATATATCACCAGTTCGTTTTTTAAGAGATCACATATATTACATTTTTTATTATCAGAAATATATATTTAGAACAAATAAAGCTGTTGTAGATGACAAACCTTCATATCCAAATATTTAAGACAATTACATCTCTTAAATTCAAATTCAATATTAGCAATTGAATTAAAATGAATCATGCTTAATTGCAAATTGCCAGTAGTTGAAATGTTACTGGTCTATTATTTTGAAGTGAAACATAACCGAAGAGATGGGATTTAAGAAATAGTTAAAAAATGTTATTTAGAAGAAAGAAAACATTTTGAAATAAATACAGTAATCATAAGTAATGTTTAACTATAAAAAGTAGAGAGTGTTGGATGATTAAGAGAAAGAATGATTAAGAAGTGCTACATTTGCACGCTCTGCTGTTAAATAAAACCATGCATGATGCTCAATGTTGGAAGGTGCTGCATGCTAATTATGATATCTGTTCAACACCGTTGGATTTAAACATTCTCAATCATACCACTCACGCCATTCTCAGACTCTTTTCATTACGTTTTAACCTTCCACCTGTCAAGCTAGCAGCACATTTTCACAAAATAAAATAAAAAACGTTTTATTTAACAGCCTTTTTTTTTTATCGATTTCGTACATTTATCTATTACTTAAACTAATTAATTATATTGATATCAACAAAATTAAAACAATACTTTCTTTCTGAAACCAAGTAATTCAATTCATCGAATATGAAAAATAATATAAGTAAAAAAACTTATCAATTCGATAATCAAAATTCCTTCTCTATGAATCTACATTATAAGCTAATACAAATCAATGTTCTTATCTTTCATCAAATAAGAGAAAGTTTTCTTTACTCAACCAGACCATTCATTATAGCACCTACGGTAACAGAACATTCTAAATTTCAATCATTTGATAACAGAACACCACTTTGCAACACTTTTCTCGTAACCATTTTAGGTTTTTCAATTATAATCTAAGATTCAAACAAAACACTAACATCCCTTGTCTTTCTTTGTGCTCCAAAGAAGAAGCTAGAA